GACTCAGTTGAAGAGAAACACACTGAAGACGTTGCAACCACCACTGACGCCGAGGGGAGTTCCACGGACGGACCTGCACTTCCTAAAGTTACATTGACAACGCCAGAACCTTTAGAAACCTTCGAAGAGAGTGTTGTGGAGGGACATCCTTCACAAGAACCTTCTATAAACGAAGTCGACGTTGATTCCAAACTGCCCTCGAGTGAGAATGAGGACGACTCTTCGAAAGCCCAACAGAAGCCGTCTTCCTTACCACCCAAGGAAGAACTGGACGTCGTAGTCGAGAGTCCGGAAAAGACTATTCCCAAGAAGACCAAGAAGTTCGACAGAGCTCCCGTCCCTTCGGAGGAAAACGAGGACGACGAGACAGAAGCTACAGGACTGGAGGACACGACGGATCTGGAAGCGCCAACCGTGGGGGAAGAAACAGTTGTAGCTGAAGAGCCATCATTGACTGAAGAACAGTCTTTGAAACGTCGACGTGGATCGAAGAACCAACATTACTTGATTATGAAGCAGAGGAAGAAGTAGAAGAGGAAGAAACTACGGAAAAGGAAAAGGACGACGAAATGGAAGTGGCCGTAAAACACGCATCAGATGACGAAGAGGAAGACGAAATTAAATTAGAAACAGAAGACAGCGATGTTGACAACAGAGAAGAAGAGAGAAGACCCGAAGGCATTGCTGTAGACAAGATCGATCCCAGTGACTTTGAAGTGATCGAAATCGTGGAAGTGCCAGCCAAAGGGAAGAAGAAGAAGGACAAGAAGAAAGTGCATATCCACACCGGCGAGGAAGCGGTAGATGTCCTCCACAAACTGGCCGAGGAACAGATGTCCAAGCACGCAGGCGAGACAACGAAGACCCCCAAACCACCATCTTACCAGTGGCACGCTGGCAACTGGTCCGAGGTATGTCCAATGATTCTTTGAGGTCCAGGTATATTTTTGTCATTTGCTGTCGTTTAATAGCTTCCCGTTTGCGCTCTTGCTTCTTAGATATCCCTAAACTGACAACAGATATGATCAATGTGTGAAACCCCCTCCCCCCTCCTTTCTACAGTGTAGCGTGGAGTGTGGCGGAGGCGTGAGTACCCGAACTGTGGAGTGCAGAAACCAGGTCACCGCAACTCTTGCAGATCCACGTTTGTGTGACCTGTTCCCGCCCATCGACCTGAAGTCCTGCAACACCGTGAGTGGCATGTTCATTTAGTACGCGTGAGTGTGAATGTGTGTGTGCGCGTGTGTGTGGTGTGTTTTTCTTGCATGTCAGAGAGAGAGAGAGAGGTGCCCTGCATACGCATGAGAGAGAGAGAAGGAAGAGAGAAACCATACCCATGAACTCCGGTAGCCCTGCCATTAACCCCCAATTCCCTTCCTTTCGTCCAGGTGGAGTGCGCGGACTGGGAGGTCGGCGCGTGGGGCGAGTGCGAGGGCGAGTGCGACCTGGGGGAGAGGCAGAGGGCCGTGTCGTGTCCTCCTGAACGTCGCTGCTCCCCCGACGCGCGACCCCCTGAGGCCGAGCCCTGTGAGCTCCGGCCCTGCCTCGCGTGGGTGGAGGGACCCTGGAGCCTGTGCACCAAGTGAGTCGTCTGTCTGTCAGTCTGTCTGTCGCTCATTCGTCCGGCAGTCCATCTCGGGGCTGTCTGAGGACGTCCGTCTGTCAGCGAGTCCTTTCATTATCACATTATTAGAGGTCATTCCACTTAGTTCGAGGCAGTAATTATTTTGTCTTGTATTTTTTTGCACTCAGAGCACAGGGATAAGATGTAAATAGAAATTTTAGAAAAAAAAAAGAAAGAAAGAAAGAAAGAAAGAAAAAAACGAGTTATGTGGAAAGACTCTCCTCTTATAAACACCAGACCAGTATTTCTTTCACTCTCCCGTTACCTCCACAACAAACAAACAAACAATCAAACTCACACAGCCCTTTCCCCCTCCTCTTAGGTCGTGTGGAGGAGGCTTTCAGTTCCGCCACGTGAAGTGCGTAGACGTGCGGACACAGGAAGAGGTGCGGACGTGCAGTCGTGACTCGAAACCGAAGCAGAAATTGGCGTGCAACAAGCACCGTTGCCCGAAGAACAGACGAGGTAAGGAGGAGAGACAAGATAAAAATAGGTGTGAACTAATAGGGAATAAAGAACGAGTTACGATGTTTTTATGTTATGATCTTAATTTATTATTTCTTGTTTGGAGTCCTTGTTAGATATATTCCTTCTCTGAAATGGATCATAATTTACAATCGGGCCATATTTCATGACAAGTGCCGCCCTGCCCTGACCTCCATCGCCCTCCTTCTTTCCCAAACAGGTCATCAGAAAAGGTGTCGTGACCGCTTGGATACCAAACTGTGCAAGAGGCTCAAGCGGATGTGTACCACCAAGTTCTTTGCGATCAAATGTTGTAGGACTTGTTTGGGGAGCCACTGATGACGTCACGCTATTGGTGATGACATTGCGCGAACGGACTGATGGCGTTCGTAGATTCACCGGATGCAGCCGGATTCGATATATATATATATATATATATATAATATATATATATATATATATATATATATATATATATATATATATATATATATTATATAATGTATGTATGTATACATACGCATGTATGTATGTATGTATATGTATACATACACAAGCACATTGGCTGTTTTCTTCCCAGACGAAACCGGAAAAGTCTAGAACCGAACGAAAATGTTCCTAGCCGACGAGAGGAATACACAACGAGATATATTTTGATAAAATCTGCAGAACTGAGACATCGTCAGCGAGCGCATGCGCCATCCAAGGAAGCGAAGTCATTATGCAAACATGTCGTATTGTTTAGGCTGCATAAATCGCACGTCAAAATACGCACAATCCTCAAAGCGGACGAGGGAAAACAATGTCCACTGAACAATTGTAAACATAAGTGTAAGGTGTTTCTTTTTTATGAATAAGTTGGAACACGTGAGTCTTGGAGCCTTGGCGTGATTATCGTTCATCATGCAATCCCGTGAACCCGAGGCTATATATACACCCCTCAAGTGACGTCGCCGCAGCGTGGTCTGAGTCACAGAGAAGGTTATGTCACGTTTTCACTACATTTTTTTTTTTTTTTTTTTTTTGAGACGTCGGCCCTTAGCAGATGATGTTGCTGGGATTGTCGACGGTCGCCACTGTCCAGCGAGAGAAAACTGTCCTCACTTTTCCAGCGATTCGACAAAGGGCGCGGAGTTTGGCCTCAGTGCGTTTCCATGGTTCTTGTGGGCGGCAAGAGCGAAGAGTTGAAACGGTTGAGATTCTTTTGAAACAATTCTCTTTTCCTTCGTTTTTCTTACGTGAGAATTTCACTTGCCCCGAGATCTCAGTTTTATGTAACATACGCCGAAAGAAGAATCCTCTTGAAATGAATAAAACTGCGATACACTGTTTTTTGTACAAATACCTTTTTTTTAGATTTAGTTAATGAATACTTTCCTATATTTTCATCCTTTTTGTTACTAAGTTCGTTATTTTTCAAATCTCATGGCGGAACGTCAGTAAGGAGGGAAAAACAAGGCATACGCGACACAGCAAAGACTAGAATCCATCAATATTTCAAACATGCTTTACATCAAATCTATTTTTATTTTCTTGAAATCACGACCCCTTGACACAAACCGCCAGCCCAGAACTAAAAAAAACACACAAAAACCGAAAAAGTGTTAAAGTGTAGCATTTCCCTCCACGAACTATTCACGTAGACACAAAAAACAAAAACAAAAACAAAAGAACAGCGTGACCAATAAGGAGGCTTTTCTCACGTTAGCGCCACGCCCACTCGTTCGGAAGTTGGCCCCGAATTTCCCTCGTTTGGAAGTCTTGCCTTTTCTTCAACATTTGCAACTTTAGTGCTAGACAATTACCTGATGAATTAGTACAATGGAGGCACAAGTGGACGGAAAAATATGGTTTTCAGATGATTATTGTTATCATTATCTTTATTATTATTCTTGTGGTTATTATTATTATGTAATTATTATTGATACTTTCATTATTATTATTATAGTTCTTTTTATCATTATTACATTATTATTTTTAACATTATATTTTTATTTCTTTTATAATTATTATCATCATTATTATTATCATTATTATCTTTCTTATCCTTATGATCATCATTATTATGGTGATGACTGTTACTATCATTATCATCATTATTGATGTTGATATTAAATTTGTTCTCATTATATTATTTTTATTTTATTTTATTATTATTATTATTTTATTATTATTATTTTTTAAATATTATCATTATTATTATCATTATTATTATTATCATCATTGTTATAGTTATTATTATCATTCCGATGTTTTGCTTCGTAATCTGTTTACTTTTTCATTAATATAACCTTAAAAACCGTTTCAAAGAAAGCATAGATACTGAGTGTTCTTTTTTTATAAACAAAATCAGAAAATGTATCATGTGCTTTTATATTTTCTTCTTTTCGTGCACAAAATATGAAATAAGAAAAAAAGTTGCTGAATAATCTTACTATTAGGGAGCGATGGATGTAAACAAAAAATATGGAAGGGATTAAATCGCTTTTTAAACAACAACAACAACAAAAGCAACAACAAAGACAACAACAAGAACAGCGGCAGCAACATCAATGTAATAAAGATTGGATGAGACACCAGTAAGCACAATGCTATGTAATAGACAATCTTTAATTCTAAAGACGAGAATTGTAACGTTCGCGGATGCAAACGGATTCATGTGGATTTATTCATGCCTGTTCCGTGGAGTAAGGAATAACTCCATATACAGGGAGCTGAAAAATAGATTATCATTACGTTTATTTGATCTAAAAAAGAGAGGGATTGACAAAGCAAAACAAAAACAAAATAAAAGAAATAACTGAGAAAAAATGGAAAATGAGAATGATTATATGTACACCACACAATTTGGCAACAAAAACAATAGAGAAAAAAGAGACAAGAAAAAAATAGGGCGTAGAGGGAAAAAGGAAGAAAAATATTTTACACATTAACAACAACAATAAGAAAATCAAGTCAACGCGGACTAGAAGAGATGAAACACGCGAAGCGGCAAAAACTCTCTTATATTTCATTTCAACACCGATTTATTTATAATTTGCCTTTTCGCAGTATTACTGTTCACTGCCATATATGTCACTGTTGCCTGACGTCATGATGACTTTTTAAATTATTCATATGTTATTTTCGAACGTGTTTAAAACGGATATTACCGTTATTTCCACAGTGTGTTTTCTGTAGACTGTAACAAACCGATGCCATTTCGGAGGTGGGAATCGCTATGATTTCAGCATTACTTAGTTTGTGAAGCGAAAAAGGGTGTTCGAAGTGTTATAGATAGCATAAAGATAAATGAAGTGTGTGCTGATGTTGGATCTTTTTTATAGATATAAATACTATTGTCTTAATTTAAATTAAATACTTCCCTTGTGTTGGTTCCAAATAAAGCTGGAATGTGTTTTTTTAACCAGATGCTTTTTCATTTATATTCCATTTCTAGAATGAAAAAAAAAAAAAACGATGAAGAGAAAGGGGGATAAAACGAGAAGTGGAAGAAAGGGAAGAAAGAAGGGGAGAGACATGGCGGAAGTGTTGCAGAGGAAAGAAAGATTAATAAGACCAAAGAAAAGAAACAAAAGCAAAAATGGCTAGGAGTAAAGTAGAGAGAGAGAGAGAGAGAGAGAGAGAGAGAGAGAGAGAGAGAGAGAGAGAGAGAGAGAGAGAGAGAGAGAGAGAGAGAAGAGAGAGAGAGAGAGAGAGAGAGAGAGAGAGAGAGAGAGAGAGAGAGAGAGAGGAGAGAAAGAGAGAGAGAGAGGAGAAGAGAGAAGAGAGAGAGAAAGAAAGAAGAGAGAGAGAAGAAGAAAGCGATCAGATTCGCCCTGACTAATACATCGAGACAAATATCTGCCGACAAACATATCCCCAGAAGAGAGGCGATACAAAGAAGACCAAAACAAAAAAGAAAATAAAAACAAAACAAAAACAAAAAAAGATAACGAAAATGATTTTTTCTCAGAGACACACGTCCCGAACACAAAGAGAGGAAAGAAGAGAGAGTTGCGAACCAGCTGCCGAAGAGGGCGGGGGGTGGGGGGGGGGGCACCTCGTCCACGGTAACAGATGGTCTTCAAACAGAGCAAGTGTGTCGGACATTTTTTTTTTTTATCTCTCGTATCTCCTTACTTAGGTTCTTATCTTCGCTTCCTCTTCCTTCTCCTTTCGTTGTTTGACCTTGACCTTGACCTATTGATGAGTGCCCTTTGAACTGCGATCTAAAGAAGGAGAGGAATGATCGTTAATGCGTAAAAATGATTAGCATTAATAAATAGGATAGTAATGAGGAGGCGAATTATCTTTCAATATATAATGATAAATAAATAAATGAAAAACTGAAATAGAAATCATGATAAGTATTTACATAAGGAAGAATAACAAGAATAATGAAGTAGAAGCACTAGTAGGAACAACAACAGAAAAAAAAGATCAGTAACAATTATAATGATTAATAAAGTAAAGATTGAAAATCAAAGACGAAAAGGAGATAAAACAAGAGAGAGAGAGAAAGGAAGAAAATAAGAAAAGAAAAAGAGATTGCAAAATAGGAAAGAGAGCGAGAGAGAGAGAGAGAGAGAAGAGAGGGGGGGGGGGAGGGAGGGAAGGAGGGAGAGAGAGAGAGAGAGAGAGAAAGAGGGAGGGGAGAGAGAGAGAGAGAGAGAGAGAGAGAAGAGAGAGAGAGAGAGAGAGAGAGAGAGAGAGAGAGAGAGAGAGAGAGAGAGAGAGAGAAGAGAGAGAAGAGAGAGAGAGAGAGAGAGAGAGAGAGAGAAAAGAAAGAGAGAGGTGGTGAAGGGAGCAAGAAATGAGAGAGAAGACGGAGAAAAAAGATAGAGATACTGGGAGAGAGAGAGCGAGAGAGAGAGAAAGAGCGAAGCAAGGACAGTGCCTCGGCCGGCTAACTTGCGTTTGATGTCGGAAAGTAATTGGCCGGCCTTATTGCATGTAACCAGAGCGCGGAGAACGGCTTGGGACGAGAGCAGATTTTTTTTTTTTTTTTTTTTTTTTTGAGGGGGGGGGGGTCTCGAAGGTGGTAATTTCTTCATCATAATGAATTAACCGATCTGTCATTTGCAATAGTATTGTAAAATAGTAATGATGATGGTGGTGTTGGCAATGATATTTAAAATCAAGTTGATAATGACAATGACGGTTATAAACGTGATAATAAACATAGTAGCAGTATTAACACTTACAGTATTTGTACCGATTACCCTGAAAGACATTATCATAATGATGAAAATGATACGTTGGGAGCTACCGTTCCTATTACTGCAAAGATGATGATGATGATGAACCAGAAGATAAAGAAGAAAAAGAAGAAGTAGAAGATGATGAAAAACAAGAAAATCACTGCTCGGAATGCCGCAAAGTTTGAGATTAAAAACAAACTGAAATCTCTTTAAACATAAATTTTGCTA